GAGTAAATAAAAGGGTTCGCTTTGGGCCTGGCCCCCAAATCCATCACGCAGGCTGTAGGCTCGTGACGCTTGAAATCATTGAAGTTGGCACGGCGTCGTTTTGAGGTTCCCCCCATGTCTGTCCGTCAGAAACACTGGAGAAGGACGCCCAGCTGGAGAGGTTGCTAAACAAGCTGCGACCCTCCCTCGCACACACGCACACATGCACACACGCATGCAGACACACAGAACTTGGCACCTGGCCCCCAGTGGCTGAGGGGCACCCGAGTGGCCGAAGAATCACTGGTCAAGGCAAGCACCCCTTTTATGGGAGCAGGGTTTCAGACCTAGACCAGAGTTCATTTTGGAAGCCCTGCTGGCTCCTGGCCCCCGCCCATGCGCAGAGTTGCTTCCTTCTCTCCCTGAGAAGCTGGCTTCGGCCCAGCTGGGAAGTGGAGCTGCGGGACAGTGTCGGGGGCTGCCGGGGCGGCAAGGGAAGCCGCCTTATTCCTCCCCCCCCAGCCATCTCAATACAAGCTGCCTTTTCGTCAACCGGTTTCTAGAAGCAAACACTCCCCGAAGAGCCCCTGGCAGGACGGACGGCTCTCGTTTCGCAAATAGAGCTGACCTTTCTAATTAGGATGGTAATAAAGCCCTGGTTATTATTTAAGCAGCAGGGCTTGGGGGCGGGGGAGGCAGGAGCCCGTTTGGCACCGGCCCTCCTGCCCCCCTCCATCCCTCCCTTCTCGGGAGGGAGAGCCAAGGGCCCGTCCCCACTGCCCGCCGGGGCCCTGCCTGGCAAACAGGCTGCCTGCCCTTTCCCAGCCAGAAGCCGCCCCCGGCTCCCTGGGCTGCCTTGCCCTCTCCCCCGTCCGCGGGCATCTGACGTCAGGGTCCTGCCTCGCCCCCCCACCCTCCTTTCTTTTAGGAACGAGCCATTTGGCTTGGGCACACTTGAGCTCTTTTGAATGCAAACTTGACATCCCCCCGAAGCAGCCGCGGACGGCTTATGCACAGTAAACAGGCAGACTGTCTTATTGATTAACAGATGAGGCCTTTATTATCGATCAAAGCTTGGCGAGAAAATTTATCACTTTTAATTTCACTGCTGCCAAATTTTTCTGCCTCTGAGCCAGCCGTTACTGAGGCAATTTAAAGGCAGGGGAATTATTCTCAGGAGGGGAGGGGAGACGAGGGGGCATCGGCTTGTTTTCATACTTCCTTCGGGTCCACCCCACAGTGGGGTTTGGAGGGCGACGAAACGCGCCTGGGAGGGTCGCCTGGAAAGCCAGAGGAGGGGGGAGGACGAGTGGACGTCGGCCATCGGGGCTGGAACGAGGTTTGTGGCCTTGCCCTGTCCCGCAGCAGGCGGCCTTGGCAGAAGACTGGGGGTTCCCGGTTCCACGAGCCTCTTCTGCAACGTTTGCGGCGATGGGCCTCCCGGGACAGCCTTGGAAGGAATGGAGAAGCAGCCCCTGAGCCCAACCTGCAGCGTCTCCATATTGTCTCCAGTTGTGTGATGGGCTCACCCCCTCCACTCTGTTCTGCCTTTGGGGCCATGTTTGCCAACAGCTGGTTGGAGGCATTGTGAAACCATGCCAGCTAGAAGAGCTTTCGCCAGCCTGCCACATCGCTGGCCAGAGGGGATGAGAGCTGAGGTCTGGTGCATCTGCGGGGCACTGTTGGGTTGCAGGCTTCAGCTTTCCAGAAGACCACCTCCTTGGACCTAGGGGCTATTCTGTGGGGAAAGAAAGGGTGGTCTCACAGTGGCAGCCCTCCGGCCTTTATTCCTCCCCAATTTTGTTCCTTGGAACGGAGGCTGGGAGAGCTCCCCATCTTTCTCAAACCTGGGGCTCTTCTTGGAGACCCGTCCCACCCTCAAAGGCGAAACCACCCCCATGTTTTAATTCTAGAGAACCATTTTTAAGCGTTCTTCCTTTCTCTTCCTTTCCCCCCTTTCTAGAAGGAGATCCAAGGTGACCTTGCTGTCCCTAAATCCTGTGCATTAGCAGCTTCTTGGAACTGATGAATCAAAACTTCCAAGTCTAACCATTGTGTTCACCACGTTGGCCTAAAACCAAAGCTGCCTGCCAGTGCCTCTGTAACGGGGTTTATTTTTATCTGCAAGTTACTTATCTGCTATTTAGACATCCTGTGCTTGTTTCCCTTGTTAGAGCAAGAGCCCTGTGAACAAACAGCAGTTGCCTCCTCTGTTGGTATGCATTTTCTAAGAAATCCCACAAATACCACACCTTAACGATAGTTGTGGAAATTATCTTTAGGCCTCGGCACACGGTGTGTCGTTCTTATCTGATAGTGTCATAGCTGTTGTCTCTAGCCTTTTGTGCGCTGATGGGATGTTGTGATCATTAGAGGAGCGTTTGCAATAGTGTTGGAAGGCACTAAAAACAAGACTACTTACCACTCTGACATCATAATGATTTTTAACCCTTTTAATTCTTGCTGGAAATGCGTTGTTGGATCTTCATTACATTTTTTGCAGAAGACAGTGCGTTGGGTCCATATTGATACCCACACTGACTAGTTAATCTCATATCTGCTTTGCTGGACACACTTTCGAGCTCAGCCAGCTTTCCCCAGCCGTTGGTTCCAGGAATTCCCCAGGTAGGGTGTGTTTTGGGTCCCCTGTCTGGAGTACTTGAGATGTCCTGCAGACAAGCATGGAGGTTCTGTTCCAATCTCAAGGAACAGGCTGGAAATTTGCAGGCTAACTACATGACTCTCTTCAGCCCTTGGAGCCCTCAACCGTTCTTCCCTGGTACAGTCTTTTCATTTCTTTTTACCCCCAGCACCTTCCTTCTGTGCCATAATTCCAGTTGGGTGGCTTGCCTGTTTTCTCCCTGGGCTTAGGAGATTTATGAGAACGTGTCCTCGCCCCGTGTGCCTGGAGATGCTCGGTTGCGGCCAAGCCGCTCGTATAGAGTGAACCGTCTCTGAGCAAGCCTCAGTTTGGGTTAAATTCTTCTGCATCTTGATTCCAAACTCTGCGTTGTGCACTGATTGCTGCTCCGTCCGTATTGACGGCACAGCTTGGACTCTAGAATTGGCATATGCAGCCAATAAAGTTCTCCCCCACCCCCAGTCCAAGTGAACTTTTTCTGCTCTTTCAACTCTCTTGGGCTTCTTGAATCTGTCTGTAAGCCATGGATGGCTACCCCTTCATTATTACAATAAAACAAATAAGACACTTGGACTATTTGACACCTTTTCCTTACAAACTGCATTTTGGAGATTCTTATACTTTTGATTATTCCTTGTGTCCATTCAGAGATATTTGTGGAGTGGAGTATTGAGCACTATTTTTAAGTAAAGTGGGTTTGTGTAGACTGGGGAAGGATCTCCTGGAGTCCCTTGGTCCCAAGTTTAGTTCATTGTAGGAATGCAGTTAAGAGCAGCTCTCCCTGGTCCATGTCAGGTAAACGATTGGATGATCTATTGAGGACTCAGCTGTTTTCTCCTTGACAATCCATCTTGACTGCTTTTGGAACCCATCACCTCCCTGAAGTGAAGTGCAGACTTTACGGAGTTCTGCTGGATGAAGGCTGGGAAAAGGCCTGGTCCTCCTTGCCCTGTTGAAAAGTGTTGATGTTTGGGCAGAAGCTGCTCTTAGAAGCATGAGAGGTCTCCTTTCTCAGCCGTTGCTAACTTAAGAACCTTTTCAAGGACTGAAGGTAGCGGCCTACCATTATTTTAGAGCAAATGAAAGTAAAACTCTATAGGGCTGGACTGAATGGACCACTTCACACCAGTACCATTTATCTGCCTGCTTTGGAGAACAGAGTTCCAATCTCATACTTTTTCTCCTTTTTTTTTTTTTTGGTGGGAAAAAGCTCTGGAGAAAAAAAATGCGGCCTTGTTTAGGAGAAGGAGAAGTTAGATGCACTTTGAAGATGCACAAGGCAGCTGGGCAACGTCTGTGTTTGTTTTCTTAATCGTAAAGCTGCTCCAAATGTTCCAAGGCTGGCATCTCCCCCAGCCCTTCCTGGAATGATCATGCCATTACATCATGTATCTGTTAAGAAGTAGGAGGGATTGTTTTCAGGGAATGTCACCAGAACTTTGTTCCTGCTAACATTTGTCCTGTCTGAGATCTGCTGAGAGTGAAACCATTGAATTCACTCCCAGAAGGATCTGTAGCAAAAAAAATAATTAAAAAAATTCACATTCTGTCTATGGCTCATTTCTTTAGTTTTTCATTTATTCCAAAACCCCAATAAAGTGCCGCGAAAACATAAATGGGGGCTTGCTTGTAGCATGAGTCAGAGATCAGGTTGGTGGTGGTGGCAACAGTGGTGTAGGGTTTGTTCTAAGCATAGCCCCAACCACCGAATAACTTAAAAATGTGATTTTAATACTGGGATAACTAAACAAATCAATTGTGCAAATCTCCATAACCAATGGAAATGAGAAAGGAAAAAATACATAAATAAGAGCGTTCCTAGATATCCGGAAAATATTCAGATCTCTGATCAACTCTATATTCAGTTTCTTCCGGGCTGTCTGACGTTTGTGGGAATAATGTCATCAGACCAATGCAACAAGAGCGTGACATGCCTTGAAAGTATGTGGGGTGTAAGAATATTCTGAGGTGCTGGATAATTGCTAAAATTAATACGATAATAAATTATCAGAGAGACAGCCTGGGCCATTTGCTTCATCCATAAAATATTGCACTGTGGTACGGCATCCCTTCATTCGGTGGGTTTGTGTTAGAGAGAGTGTTTCCTTGTCAATCGTATCTTGAAAAGATAACGTATATGTATTTGAGTGAAGATCATGGATTACTTGGTCAATTTTTTAAAATTAATTTTTCTTCTGGTTACGGACAACTCCGTTTTGGGAACTCTCCATTTGTGGTCACTGCTCAACACAGTGCAGTGACTCGGGACCCGTTTTGTGACAACTATAAAGGTTTGTCGGTGTTTCTTGATGTTAACGTAATTTCTCTCTCTCTCTCTCTCTCTCTCTCTCTCTCTCTCTCTCTCTCTCTTTCTTTATAGCAGGTGCCAAAGCCTTTCTCTGTGATCATTGTGGTGCACAGTTCTCTAAAGAAGATGCCCTGGAAACTCACAGGCAGACACACACCGGTAAGTCTTCTTTTGAGTTGTTATCTTCCAAATTCCTCAGCATTTTGTGAAAATATCCTCTTAAGGAGGTGGTTGGTGGCATTCTTCTTCCTAACCTTGGCCTTTTTCTTGAATCAGCAGTAGCAGTAAAATTTTCCATTAGACCAACCTTTCACCAGTATGTTCTGTGGGTACTGATGATGTTGATATTGAAGGCAAGGAGAATTCTTAACACTGGAGAGGAAGTCTAGTCTATGCCTCCCTAGTTTCTCCTCCACATTTTCACACTGGGAGCTTGGTCAGGAAAGGTGTTGGAAGATCTGTATTTGTGGTGCCTCCACTAAAGATCCCAGATGGTCCAAGTTTAATGACCACGTAGAAGATACCAGTTGGGAAGGCTGACCTTGGTCAGTTAGGCAGTCTAGAAATAGAAATGGATAGGCCCAGTGAATATAAAGCGTTTGCCCTCTCCATCTAGGGAGTAGAAGATCCTGTTGGAAAAGTTAACTTCCTAGACTGGTTCAACCACTAGCAAAATCGGTGTGGGTGTTGTGTGAGACACTGCAACAGTCATCTGAGGTAGATCATCAATAGTTTTCCAGTTGGGCGAGGCTGCTTGGCCCCACTTCAGAGGGGTGGGGTGGGGTGGGGTGGGGTGGG